ACGGCAGATTGACTTGAAAAATGTAACTGAAAATATATCCTGGTAAATACTGCGTATTATATGTGCTGATAATCTCAATAAAATTAAAAATACAATTATAAAACACTTTAGCACATAATGTATATCAAGTCATTAATTTATATTATATAAAGGATTGTAATTCTTATATGTATACCCACTTGGCCTTGTATTTGCAAAAGAACCCCAATATTAAAGCACTAGCTTTGAGATTTTATTTTATTCTATTTTATGAGCCATAAGCTATAGGTCATATTCTACAAGTGTGATTATAAGAGAATTGTGTGAGCTACATATAGATACAAAGATATATATAAATGTGTGTATTATTACAATTTTTTGCTAGATAAACTATCAAAGAATTTGTTTATAGATACACGACAATTTATTTTAAAAAAAATTCAGAGAAAGATATTATTTATAAATGGGCTTATCAATTCACATGCAGGTGATCAAATTACAAGGCGTATTCTTGGATTTCCTTTTTCTTTTTCTTTTTTTTTTGATCAGCAGAAGCACATTATCAAGATGCTTCAAATTATTTCTTTTGATAACTACAGCTATTTCTTTTATATTTTGTACAATTTTATATTCTTTACCAAATACTTCTTGTCTTAATGTGTCTGATTCAGTAGCTTTATGAGTAATTTGATAATCTTTGAAAGGAAGCAAAGAGAGTGAGAAATATATTTATGAAACTTGTAATATATGCATGCATAAATTTGTATTTTTTTCTTTAGTTGCCTAGTATGTATTTATTTTGATTGTCTGCATAACCCCCCCTCTATTATGTACATCACAACAGCTTTGCTTTATCTATCAATCTTCTAAGGCCTGGCCTTTATTAAACGGTGAATACTTTTATAAAATACTATAGCATAGCACTACATATAGCAAGAGTATGAGCTCCAGTTTGAGGGTTGGAAAAGCAAGGCCAGTGTTATGTTTTAAAAGAATTTATATGTTTTTGTTTTTTCAACTTGTGTGTATACAGTTATAATCAGGTCTTTTCCTTGAAGAATATGTGTAGACTCACAAAAATAGATGTCCAACTTGATCAGCACTATGCAGCGTGCATTCATTCTTGGCACAACATGCCATTGATAAGCATTTTCAATAGATTTTGTTAGACCAAATCTAGAGCAGTCTCAATATCTCCCTGTCTTTTTTTCTATAAGTATAGAGCAATTTTTGCAAACTTTGGTTTTCCTTTTTTTCCTTTTTCTTTGTACTAGCCGCGTCTGCTGGAGGGGTCGATAGAAGGCTTCTGGTAATACATGGGTTTGTGTCCGGCCGGTCATCGTTAATACACAGAAGCCAAGATGGTCTTCCGATAGCCATGAGTTTCTTTCTTGTCATGAATGGGTAGTCCAGGTATTTTAAGATAAGTATATGTATTTACATTCTACGCGCAATGAAACTTTGAATACTAATTAATCATAGCCTGTGGAGTTGGCGACTGTAAGAGTTCAAAAGACGTTCATAAAGACTTGGCAATATTATTTTGTTGAGCTTGTTGAACCGATTTTGGACTCTTGCGACCGACCGCTCTCTCTTTTTCTTTCTTTCTTCCAAAAGGACCCGATGGAGTAGTAGCCACGGGTCAACCATGGTCTATCGAGCAAGTCCCAAAGCGCGCGTGTAGCGTGTGAGCCCGTTGTCCGTATTCCCATGTATTACTGGTTGCTTTCTGTCCTCTCTTCTGGTGGGCGCGGCTGGTATCTTTTTGGTTAGTTCCCGTTGCTTGTTACCTCCCGTTGCTTGTTGCTTTATTATGCCTTCCACGGCGGTTTATGTTATTTCAAAGGTACTGTTGCTTGTTGCTTTTTTGTTAGTCTGTTGCTTCCGCCAGTGGGGTCTTTCTGCCAGTGGGTTTGTTGCTTCCCACTGGTAGGCCCTTTCCTCCTACCAGTGGACCTGTTATCTCTCGCCAGTGGACCTATTATCTTCCGCAGATAGGCCTTTTTATATTACGGCCAACTGCCCATTTTTCTTCCATTGTTGGCACCATTTATTTTTCTGGCCAATTTATTATTTCCACTGGCGGGTCCATTTATATCACTGGTAGGAGCCATTTATCCCACTGGCGGGTCTGTTGCTTCCTGTTGCTTCTATCAACAATCAATTTGCCTCTACGGCGGAACAAAATGGTTCCATTCCTGCCACAAAATTGTTGGCTATCGCATGCCTTTTGGGCACGTCGTCAAAAGCCGATACGGCTCACCAGAAGCCCAACAAGGGGCGCAAGAGAAAAGGCCAAACCGGCCAACAGTACTGGCCCAAGATGCGCGCCAGGTCAGAGGCCAATCCGGCCCACCACAAGCCCAACAAGGGGCACCAGAGAAAAGGCCAAACCGGCCGACAGCAAAGGCCCAAGATGCGCGCCAGGTCAAAAGCCGATACGGCTCACCAGAAGCCCAACAAGGGGCGCAAGAGAAAAGGCCAAACCGGCCAACAGTACTGGCCCAAGATGCGCGCCAGGTCAGAGGCCAATCCGGCCCACCACAAGCCCAACAAGGGGCACCAGAGAAAAGGCCAAACCGGCCAACAGCAAAGGCCCAAGATGCGCGCCAGGTCAAAAGCCAATCCGGCCCACCACAAGCCCAACAAGGGGCACCAGAGAAAAGGCCAAACCGGTCAACAGCAAAGGCCCAAGATGCGCGCCAGGTCAAAAGCCAATCCGGCCCACCACAAGCCCAACAAGGGGCACCAGAGAAAAGGCCAAACCGGCCAACAGCAAAGGCCCAAGATGCGCGCCAGGTCAGAGGCCAATCCGGCCTACCACAAGCCCAACAAGGGGCGCCAAAGAAAAGGCCAAACCGGTCAACAGCACAGGACCAAGATGTGGTCAAGATCAGGGACAAAGTCCAAAATCAAATCAAAATATCTAGTCAAAAAAAAAAGAAAAACAAGGGAAAAAATTCAAAAAAAATTGTACTCATAATTATCCTTATCAAGTCAAAATTTATATATACTAGCACAATATCCAAAATAGTCAAGTCAAGATCCATTTCTATGTCCATGTCCAAGTCCATGTCCAAGTCCAATTCCTTTCCAAATGGCCAAACAATGTCCACGTACTGCTAGAGTACTAGTCCTAGAACATACATACATACAAGCATAATTTCTATCAAGTTCAAAATCTGGGTTATACTTCCAAATCTCAAGGCCAAGCCAATTTCCAAGCAGGGGTCCAATGCAAGTTCCAAACAAAAATTATTTCTTCCAATGGCAAATTCAAATCTCAGGCATCATCCTAAGTCCTGTTGGCTGTGGCACGCACACTACAATAGAGTGAAGAACAGACTCCACTACCAACCACTGGTTCCATCTTGCCTATGAACCTGGCACGTTAGCCATCTCCGGAACTATTACATACCAGGCACACGTGCACTACACATTTATACCGTGGAAACCAACCATTATACAACAGGGATCTGAATTCCAAGGGGTTTGAATGGTAACAGATATGAACAATATTACCTTGTCTCTCTAATAAGTAACACTCTCAAAGTATCTACTCTTCAAAATATTGAGATACTTTGAGAGTGTTATTTATTAGAGAGACAAGGTAATATTGTTTATATTTGACTATTCAAATCTTTTTTAATTCTTATCCTTGTTGTATGATGGTTAGTACATTGTATAAGTGGGTATTGTACGTGTGCCTGGTATGTAATAGTTCCGGAGATGGTTAATTTGCCAGATTTATTCGCAAGAAGGAATCAGTGTTTGGTAGTGGAGTCTGTTCTTCACTCTATTGTGGTGCTTACCTCACATTTACAATTCAAATCAAATCAACTCAAATCAAATCAAATCAAATCAAATCAACTCAAATCAAATCAAATCAAATCAAATCAAATCAAATCAAATCAAATCAAATCAAAACTGAAGGAACACTGCATTGGAACCTGGCTCTGGATCGAGGCGACGCTCCGGATTGGACCAAGACTCTCTATTACAATAAGCTGCAAAATCCTCTTTACATATATACTTGCAAAGCGAATGAAATATTTCTCAAAAAAAAACCGGACTGGACTGGGCTGGACTGGACTATCATGGACTTGACTATCTTATATTCTATTTAATTTAATTTAATTTGTATTTAATTTGTAAAAATCTTTGTACACAAAAATCATTTACTTTGAACAATAAAATTTTCCCTTGTTTTTCTTTGATATTATATTTATATTCTTGTCTCTTTTTTTTAAAAAATATAAAAACCTATTAGTCTTTAAAAATATTATTAAAAAATAATATGGTTGACTGTCTTTACCTTTGTCTCTTTCCTTGCTTTTGT